TGTGATCTAATGGGTCTTTGGGAGGTAATTGGCAGCAGGGGGTCTCTCAAGTACCCAGGTCCAATACCATGAAGGTCTTTATAAGACTAGCACCTTGAAGCGTATCCGAAGACCAATAGGCAGCCAGTGCAGCTCGCGGAGGATAGGTGTAATGTGGGTGTACCAAGGTGCACCCACGATCACTCGCGCGGCTGCATTCTGGACAAGCTGAAGTCTCCGAATGCTCTTCAAGGGCTGCCCCATGTAGAGCACAAGTTGTTGAGCCAGTGTCTTGCTCAACTGTCTTGAACACAGCATCCATTTTTCTTACAAATAATACTTTCTAGATGTTGGTGCCTATTCAGGAAAATTTGCATTGGCTGCAAGGATGACTGTGGATAAATGGTTTAAATGAGGAACCGTTACTCTGGTTATGGTTGTAGTTCTGGTACTAACTATGAAAACTGGAAATGGTTACATCTTGCCTCTCTAGCTATGAAACCCTCCAGGGGTACATTTGCATTAATAGAGTCAACATCTCATTTTGCTACTCCTATTGAGTCACCCTGAGAGCTAAAAAAGAGAATAAAGTAAAATAAAATAACAAGACTCTTAGAAAATAGAAGGATGTTGGAAATTCTTTACTACCAACATTGACTTATTAAAGCATCTCAGCTCCTTTCCGTCTGAGATTAGCAGATGGGCTGTTTCTAAGAACTCAGGCGTATCGACACTTACATATGCAATGCTGTCAGGCCTGGAAGTCATCTTTTACATTACAGGAGAATTTAAACCTGGGATAGGTTCACTGTTTCATTCCAATGATAATTTACATATCAAAGGAGGTTTTGCAAACAAAATAGACTGTCCCTAAATGGCTAGAGCCTTCTAGATCTATTGATTTTCAACCTTCACAGTTTCTGCTGCCAAGAATTGCAGAGATTTGTGTAAGTCCAAAACACATGAAGACTCTTGTTTGAGAAGGTTGCCGTAAGTGAACTCTTCCTTTCCCATCCTCAGAGCCCACTTGTGAACTGGAATAACAACTGTGGGACGTTTAAATGAGGATCCATATCAGTGGAAAGGAAAACAGATTTTGCATTTGTGGCAAAAGAATGTCAGATGTTACATCTTTTCTATCCTGCTCTATGAAGTAGAGATTTGGTCTCTGACAGAAANACGGGGGGGGGGGAGAGAAAGAAAGAGAGAAAAGAAATCCCCCACTTTCCCTACATTAAGGTTTCAACCTGAATTGGCAATGAAGGAACAACGTCTATTGAGACTTTTGAAAAATAGGAGACCTAGTTTTACGCTATTGTAGATAATTCAAAACAGGTATTCAGTGAAGAATGTCAGATTTGGTATTGATTATGATTAAGGTTGATAATTATAATGATGGCTTGAATCTATGAGGAAACTCAATCAATACCTACTGTGGTTCCTATATTAGCAGAACAACTAATAACCTTATGTGCCTTAAAGTCTAATCAATATTTTATGGATTGAGCCTTAGCGAATTGCAGTCCACTGGAATATTATGCCTACTTAAATACAATAGGAATAGCTTCTATATTACATACTCATATAGTAATATGATTTCAGAATATTCCATGATTATTATGAAAAAATTGTGGTCCAGAATGCTTCTACACTGATAAATTTGTTAGACTTTAAAGGTGCCATTAAGATAATTGTAGAGTTGGCTATAATAGAATAACTTAGCCCATAACATAACCACTCTAGAAGCTGAAGTCGGGAATAAAGAACATTCTGTGTTAATGCTTTAAACATATTGTGACTTTTGAATTTCCCCCCGGGCCAAATACTTGTCTCACATATGCAGATCTAGAGAAATAAATATTTGTATAACTTCAAATTTCTTTGGAGTAGAATGGTATATATTTTATAAAACATGCAAACTCACCATTATCTTGACTTTTCCCCTCGCCGCCTAAGAGGAAGGAGAGGAAGGAGAAGAGCATTAAACAACAAGAAGAAGGAAACATGCATTAATTTGTTTCTACTGCTGGTGTCCCATCCAGAACTTACAAAATAGGAGTATCAACAGCAAAAGGCAATACATCTCGTAATCGGAAAGCGAACATGAAATTCCAGCATAAAGAAACGATCATGAGTTCCAATAGTTCTCTCCTTTAAGGACTTTATCTTTTCTAAAAAATGAAACTCCAGCAGCACAAAAATCCTGGTGGAGCAGATGTGTTTTCAGCAACCAAGTACTACAAACTGGCAAGATATTGGTCAAGTATTCATTCCCATTATTGGAACTGGAAGTGGCAAACAATACAGATCAGTCTCCAGCAAGCAGACAGGAAATGACTGGCCTTTCCGTAGAGCTTTTGTTAACACGTTTGCTTTGTCCAATTTTCTTATAGTATACTGAAAACCAGAAATCCCAATGATATTATTTCACTGTGTTTTAAAATAATCTTGAATGGCTACTTTAAAGTGTATGGATTCTTTAAGTGTGCTTTTAGTGAGCCAGCCATACAGACTTGTGGTTGGTTTTACAAAGGTGGCAAGTTTTTACTCATGATGTTAAGTGCTCTTTCTTTCTTTCTTTCTTTCTTTCTTTCTTTCTTTCTTTCTTTCTTTCTTTCTTCTGTCTTTCTTTGGTGAAGTTGAATTGAATTGNCCGTGCGGGTTGTGCTCCCTTGTCTTTCATAGCCAGCTCGTTTCCAAATGTTAGCGCAGCACTCTCTAAGTTACATGACCCCATAAATCAATTTTTTCCATCCCTCTCCATGGATCCCCACCCCAATTGGAAACGAGCTGGCTATGAAAGACAAGGGAGCACAACCCGCACGGCTTGTTCAAACAGCAAAAGAAGGGACAGGAGAGGAGTTTGGCTGTTTGAAAAGCCCTGCTTGGAACTCCTCTCCTGTTCCTTCTTTTGCTGTGTCTATATGCCAAGCAGGTCGTGCTGCCTTGTCGGCAAGGGCGCTTTGCAGCGACAGGGGCCAGGAGCGGTACCAGCGTTCCCGGAAGTTAATTACTTCCGGGTTCACTGACCATCCGGTCCGCGTGAACCGGGGCGATCCAGGAGGAACCCACCCCTGATCTGGTGGCTGAATGGAGAAGTCCCAAGGTGATATAATTTCAAATAGAAATAAAGAAAATGTTGGAGGCACTAGAAACTCTGAGGGGATGTCCGTATTTGAAAGATGGGAGTACGAAGCTGAATCCAGCATGGAGTTAAAATATGAGGAAAAGCCAGATTTGCTATTCTTGATGGATTCTACAGAAGGACGTCAAAGATGGACATAGCTGCTGGAGCAGTGGTGGGTTCCTACCTGTTCGGACCGGTTCAGCCGAACTGGTAGTGGTTTGGAGGCCTGGATCGCTGGAACCAGCAGGGACTCAGGCCTGCCACACTCCTGAACCAGTTCTGCAGACAGTGCCGTAAGCACCGCCATCTTGTTTTTTGCTTCTGCACATGCGCAGAGCAATTTTTATTGTACTGCGCATGCACGCACAGCATACATCAAGCATGCACAGCCCTGAGCAAACTGGCAGTAGCAACTGCCGGAACCCACCCCTGTGCTGTTTTTCTTCCCTCTATGACACTTGCAGTCTTTGGAGGAGCCCAACTATTTTCACAATGATCTACTGCATGTAATCTAATTTTAAAGGAGGTGGAGAGTTTGCTTGTATCTACTGTAATGAAGATCAGTGGTCACTTCTTTAAACATTTTTTCTTTTTTCTTTTCTGCACCTTCTATTCACTTTTTCCCCTCTCTTTTTTTGTTTTAGTTTGCATTTCATAAATGTTATAATCTCTAATAAAAGGTATTGCAAAGAAAAACCTTTACTCAAGTTGCATGCTCGTTTGAAATGCACCACATCACATGAAAGAAAAATGCGGCTTTAATATTAAAATAAGCTGAAAAAGTTATTGAACAATCAGAATCTAAGGATTTTGCACTCTATACAATTTCCAAACGTATGTTGGCACTTTGGCAGGTGTTTGATTTTCTGGGTTCAGTCTTAGAATTCCTACTGTAAATATTGTCAATCCTGAGCAAGGGTTATGTTCTCATGTCACATAACCTTTGCACCAACATCTTCCTAACATATTCTTGTGCTGTATATCCGTGAAGTTGCCTTCCTCTTGTTCCCAGCCACAGAATGAGACAAGTATACTACATTCTTGTTGTACTAGGGATGCATCCACGGGCAGTCTGAAAGTTGATAAAATCTCTTAGGCGTTGTCTCCCGTTGCTTGGAAGAAATCAACGGGTGCAATGACTAGGAACAAAGGAAATGGAGACAGGATAGGGATTGGCAGTAGGAACTACAAAGAAAATGCTGGTATGGTTTCTGCAGATCCAAGGAAGGGCGGAGAGCACTCTAATTTACTTATGGAGAAAGGCTCAAGAAATAAATGGCACCTGTAGGCGTTTAAGCAAAGGGCTGTATTGAAAGGGAATGAATAAGAACAGGCAACCAAAATATGCCTTTACAAAATTCTAAGAAAAATCGTGTGCCCATTATAAGATGATTAGCAGTAAGAAATCAATGATTTGGCCATTCTTCTCCCTCCTCCAATCAGTTAATTGGCTCAGCAAATGATGGCTTGATTGCTGGCATCCAATAATGGCAGTAAGGAACTAGCAGCCTGTTTCCCATCATGGTATCTACTCCTGGCTGTATACCATAGATCTATAAGGCTTGTCCTTTCTACAGCTGAGACCTATATGAAGCAGTGGTGAAATTCATTTTTTTTTATTACCAGTTCTGTGGGCGTGGTGTTGCTTGGTGGGCATGGCAGGGGAAGGATACTGCAAAATCTCCATTCTCACCCCACTATGGGGCCAGCCAGAGGTGACATNCCTCAGGGAAAAGGGCGGCCTATAAATCCCAAATAAATGAAATGAAAATGAAATGAAATCTGGACACTACAATTAATATATAAAAATAAATGAAATGGTTCAATTCAGTGTTATCTACCTACCTTATTTTGTATAATCCTATTTTATTAGCATACATCATATTCTCTGTGGATATAATCCAGAATTTTATAATATAAACGCAGATTTGAAAAAACAAACAAACAAGAAATGCTTTCTTAATAGAGAGGACAAAGGTTCAAAAGAACTAATGAAGAAACCAGACGAAGGATGATAGTAAAAAGAAGACTAAACTGCTAAACTGGTTAGGAATTAATTAAAAAAGAATTATAACAAAATATATAATTATGAATGTGATTTTAAGCACCATCCAAATGACTTTAATATTTATTTGGGATATTCCATTCCATGGTTTTCTAACCTGGGTGTTTTCCAGATTTGACTCTCATAATTGCTAGTCCATTTGAATAGCGTGGCCATCAGAATTTAGCATATTAACTCATTCTGATATGTCTGTTAAGTATTCGGTTTTTTTAACAGCAACAAGAAAAATTCTACATTGTTTAAAAGCATAACTCAGCCAGTTGTTTCCTGAGAAGTTGGGAACGAGAGAAGGAAACTTAGCAATTAATATTTATTAGAAATGTACTGCTGGTACAAGTTTTTGAAAAATAGTATGCTTGACAAAGAGAGTAAATTAGTGCCCTGGAATGAGCATATTTTTATTATGTGCCATCAGGTTGGTGGAAATACTTAGTAAATATATGGATGGATTTTCTTCAGAAGGTTCTGTCCCCAATTTGGTCTTTCAGGTCTTCTAACAATCCACCCATTGTCACTACTGCTGATCATGCTGTTCTTCTCTTTAGTTCCATTTTTTCCCAGCATTACAGACTTTTCAAAGAGCGGGATCATTTCATAATGTGTCCAAAGGATGATAATTGAAATGACATACTACTATACCTAAGTTTCAAATCCATATTCTCTATGCAAATCTTTGATAAATATTGTTATAAATACATAATTCTTTTTCCATAAACAAAGATTAGACTTTTTATTCCAAAACCTATCATAAATGTTATATCAGTTATGCATACAAAGAATTTTGAACTGAGCTACTTGAAGCAACAGTTGACAAAACTGACCTTTGAAACATTTCTTGCACTGGATGATATAAAAGGAGTAGATATCATATTAACATTAAAAATGGATTCTCAGAAAAGGTTGAGAAAGAAGTATGACCAATGTAATTTACCCCGGAAAAGGGATAATTTTAATTCTGCTTCTATTTTGTCATCTACTTTTTTTTTGTTTTCTTTTATGCCAGAGTTATTTTAAATTAAGTAAAACTGTGAAAACAATGGGAGCTATAGTTAATGATAACTGATACTTTATCTAGCTCCATAATTTCCTTTTAAGTTTTATTCATTTGTGAGTTAAGAATCTCAGGAAATATCCACTTGAGAAACTCACTGAATGAAGAAACTAAGGAATTTAGACAAGCATTTGTCCCATAACACCCCAGACTCCAGGCATGAAGCTAGAAAGTGAGAAATTGTGAGTTGAAGTCTCACCTTAGCCATGAAAGTGAGGTGGGTGACTTTGGGCCAGTCACTCTCTCACACCCCATCTCACTTACTGGAGGTGACAGGACCTTCATTTACATTACAGTTAGAAAGCATACAGCAAAGACATTTTATGTAGAGAAGTTGTTTCTTGATGTGCCTCACTTTCAACAAAGCATAACTTCTTCAGACCACCTAACATATGAAATGAGGACTCTATACCTGCTGATTGCCTTGGGTCCTTGAATCTTGAATATATACATTTATCTGAAGTTTAATATGGGCATTTGCATAACAGTAGTATCTATAAAATAACTACTAGATTCATATCACCCTGTCCTAATGTGCAATATTATTCTGTTTCTAGATGCCACATTGGAATCATAAATATCATCAATTACTTGGTTGCAGGGGTGGGTTCCTCCAGGATCGCCCCGGTTCGCACGCACTGGTTGGTCGGTGAACCTGGAAGTAATTAACTTCCGGGAACACTGGTACCGCTCCTGGCCCCTGTTGCTGCAAATCGCCCTTGCCGACAAGGCAGCGCGACCCGCTCGGCATGTAGAAACAGCAAAAGAAAGAACAGGAGAGGAGTTCCAAGCACGGCTTTTCAAACAGCCGAACTCCTCTCCTGTCCCTTTCTTTTGCTCTTTGAACAAGCTGTGCGGGTTGTGCTCCCTTGTCTTTCATAGCCAGCTCGTTTCCAATTGGGGAAGGGGGAAGAAATCGATTTTTTCCGTCCCTCTCCATGGATGCCCACCCCAATTGGAAACAAGCTGGCTATGAAAGACAAGGGAGCACAACTCACACGTTGTGTTCAAACAGCAAAAAAAGGGACAGGAGAGGAGTTCAG